CTTGTACTTTGAAGAACACTTATGATTACATTGGTCTCACGTGAATTAAACAGGGCAATATCTTTATTTTAAGGTTAGCATATTAGAAATATAATTCCATTGTAATCTTAATCTCTTGCTTGTCATATAACAACATAGCCACAAGTTCTGGAGTTTAGGACACAGACTTTTTGGGAAACATTAGTGTGCTTACAGTTCTTACTTAATTGATTTGTTGGAATAATTAGTCTATCTTCTTTTTCCATGTTGCAAAATATTCTTTACAATCTAGGACATGTTTCAAAATATGTTTTAGAAAAGTTCTATATGTTGTTGTTGTTGTTGTTATGTGCCGTCGAGTCGGCCCCGCCTCATAGCGACCCCTCGTTGGGTTTCCGAGGCAGTATCACTACAGAAATAGGATTGCCCAACCTTCCTTCCGAGGAGTGGCTGGTGGGTTTGAACCACCAGCCATCTGGTTAGCAGGCAAGTGTCTTAGCCACTATGCTACCAGAGCTCCCAGTTCTATATAGTGAATGTAAATAATTGAATATTAATTATGTTCAAATCTTATACACAGAAGTCAAGTGTATGAATGAGAGAAGAACATCAGGTGAGAATAATAATCTCAAGGATAGAAAAAGAGTCATTTGCACATGTAGAGAGAAAGGAAATTAATGAATACAAAAGGACACCATATTTGGTAAAGTAGAAGGCCAATGAAAGTGAAGGGAACCATCAATGAAGTGGAGTGACACATAGTAGCAACAGCGGACTACAACACACCAATGATCACAAAGACAGCACAGGATTGGACATCGTTTCATAAACTTGCATGATTCAGAGTAAAATTGACAGCAAACAACAACATTGTGAAGTACATTAAAAAAATAAATAATAACACTGGTGTCAAGTCAATTCGACGCATAGCGACTCCTCATTGGGTTTGCGAGGTGGTATCTCTATGGAAGTAGATTGTCCAATCTTCCTTCTGAGGAACATCAACTTATCCTGAATTCCAATGCTGTTGTATAATTTTGTTTTTGAACATGATTGGTATGAACTTAAATTGTATGTATCTGTAATAGCACTGATTCCTTAGAGAACAGAGTCTACAACAAAAGCTTGTGTGATAACATTTTGGAAGTGCAATCTCAAAGAATCAATCATTAGCAAGGAGAAGGAGATGAGTCAGGAAGGAAGAACAGATACTGAATGAGACACACTGAAGTGTCCACTACCTGGTAGTGAGGAGAGCTGAATTCTTGACCTCAATTTACTTTTAGGAGAGGGCACATGCAGCTGTTGCTTTTCCATACAATCTGTAAATGAGAACGGCAACAATGTATCCATTAGCTCCCAGTTCCCATTGGTCAAAGTCCACACCACAATGGGACAACTTCTCTTTCAAAAATCTTTATTGTTCATAGAACACATTAGTACAAAATATTTTCCAATGTCACCAAAGGGCACATCTCTAAAGGCAAATCTTTCTCCATCTCTGATTCTAGCATGCACTTTCCCTCCCCAGAGAATATCGATATTAATACTTTCCTTTTAAATCTTCCAACTATAATTTTGTATATAAGCATACATAAGTATGATAGAAATAATTCTGACTTTGATGGAAATACTACATTCAAAGCATCCATTTATGTTTTATTTACTGTACTTTATTGGCTTTATTCATTGCAGTTTATCTACAGGCATTTGTCTGTGTGGATCATAACAAATTATGGATACCCTTGCAAGGAATGGGAATTCCAGAACACTTAATTGTGTCATGCAGAACTTGCATATAGACAAAGAGGGAGACATTCAAACAGAACAAAGCGATAGATAATACATGTTTTAAAATCAGGAAAGGTATGGCTCAGGGTTGTATCTTTTGCAATATTTATTTAATCTGTATGCACAGCGAATGATCTGAGAAGCTGTTATATATGAAGAAGAATGTGTCATCAGGATTGGAAGAAGACTAATTAACAACCTGCAATATGCAGATGACATAACCTTGTCTACTGAAAGTGAAAAAGACTTGTAGCACTTACTGATGATGATCAATCAAAGATCATCAGTAAGGGTTACACCTCACCACTGGATCAATAAGCAGCATCATGAGAAATGGAGCAAAGACTGAACCTTTCAAGGATTTCATTTTACTTGCATCAACAGTCAACATCCATGGAAGTAGCAGTCAAGAATTCAAGCAACATTTGGTATTGGGCAAATCTGGTGCAAAAAACTTTTTAAATTGTTTTACAGAAAATATGTCACTTTGAAGACTAAGGTGCACCTGACCCAAGCCATGGTATTTTCAATAGCTTCCCATGCATGTGAGAGATGGAAAATTAATAAGGAAGACCATAAAATAATTGATGCTTTTGAATTGTGGTGTCAGAGAATATTGATTGTACCATGGACTGCTAGAAGAATGAATAAATCTTTCCTGGAGAAAATACAATGAGAATGCTCTTTAAAAGTATGCATGGCCAGACTTTGTTTCATCTAATTTGGTCATGTTGTCAGAGGAGACCAATCCCTGGAGAAGGTTATCATGCTTGGTAATGTAGTGGCTCAGCAAAAAGAGGAAGATCCTCAACAAGAGATACTGACACAGTGGTTGCAATGACAGATTCAAGTAAAGCAATGTTTGTGATGAGAGTGCCACAAGATTGGGCAGTGTTTCATTTTGTTGAACATATGGTTGCTATGAGTCTCAATCAATTTGACAACACCTAACAACAGCAGGCTTACTTCCTTCCACTTCCCAGTGTTGGGGACTTCCATGAATTTGTGAGATAGTGTACTTAAAATCTACAAATTGAGTTCCTAAAGTTTTAAATGCATGAGTAAACTTGAAATATATGTATTTGTGTATGTTTGGAAGAGACAGAGAGATGGACAGTACACTGATTTTCAATGTGTGCAGGTGGGGATGAGTGAACCCTTTGCTATAGTTTGAGTTATAAGTTTTTTGAACTTTTCCTTTTTTAAAACTAATGATACAATCTTATCCTCTTGAAATGTGTACAGAACAAAGAATGTTATTTTTCCCCCCTTTGTCTTCCATTCTGCAACCAGTTATTCCAAAAAGTTAATGGTCATCAAAAAATAATCTGGTCTCTGTAATGACCTTTAAGTCACTGATTTTATTCTATCTACTAAACCTTGGTTACTTTTGGCAGTGATCCCTATTTGCACTGTAAATGTGTGTCTTTTCTTTTCTTTGTCCTTCAACTCAGATTTCCTAAGCATTAATATAATAGTAATCTAGGCTAACAATATTTTTCCTACTATTCTTCATAGAATTATATGAACACAGAGCTGGAAGTTATTCTGGACTGCTCAGTGTCTGATTGGAGCATTCTGGTGCCTCCAGGGAAATAGTACTAAAGCCAGGCTAACGCAAAGATAGACTGTAAAGTTAGAGCCAGAAAATGCCCAGAAGAATCAGGTCATTAACACGGATAACAAACTAGTGTCATGTGGGGAAGACTTGTTTAGACAAACATAAGGCAATATGATTTCCTTGAACTTCAAAGATATAATTTTGCATATATTTTATTTTTTATTGTTGTTGAGAATAGAGAGAGCATATACCAATTTAGTAATTTCTACAAGTACAATTCAAAGACACTGTTTACACTCTTTAGTTGTGAGACCATTCTCACCTTCCTTTTCCCAACTATTCCTTCCCCATTAACATGAACTCACTACCCCCTAAGATTTCTATCTAATCATCTTCCAAGTTGCTTTTGTCAGTTTGATCCCATACACATAGTCCGAAGATCTATTAATTCCTGTATTTTCACATATAGCAGTGACTATGAAAATCAAAAGATTCTTCTCTTCCCAATGACATTTTCTTCAGACATAGGCATAAAAGAGATGACCCTGGGGTTACATACATATGTCCCATTTTGCAGTATTTCTAAACACATTTGTTTTTGTTTTTCATTTCTAGCTATTTCAAGATCATAAATCTGCATTCAAAATTCCCTGCTATTATCTGATCTTAATATCCATAGGAAAATATGGGGAGTAACTTAGGGTATCAAAATAAATAATAATAACAATAATAATAGTAAAAACTCACTGCCATAAAGTCTATTCCTACTCATAGTGCCCCTCCTTGGGTTTCTGAGGCAGTATCTCTATGAAAGTAGATTGCCCAGTCTTCCTTCACAGAAGTGGCTGGTGGTTTTGAACCACCAGTCTTCTGGTTAGCAGTCAGATGCTTTAGGTACTATTAAAAAAAAAAAAATCCTGTGATTCAGAAACATGAAACTCTTAAAAAAAAAAAAAAAAAAACTAGTGACAAAATAGAACAGATGATATTGTTATACTGAGTTCGCTTGATCTGGAGGTGTCCAAGGGGAAGTTGTTACCTTACTCGGAATATATTATAGACAGAATTAAAGATCACAGTGAACTGGTTGCACTTTTCTTATGAACTCTCACAATGTTGCATGGCTGTGATTATATCAATATATTTCTTATCAAAACAAAGAGTACAGTTCAGAATTATGATGTGAAGTTCCTGGTCAAACATGTCAAAATTGAACTCTCAGGAAAGGATTGGGTCAGGCTGATGTCAGCTTCGTCTATACTTATCTGAATTATTCTGATATTGTATCCAGCTCTGACACAAAAGATAATGTTAGACATTCATGTTGCCCACAAAACTAGAACAAAAATTATTAACCCACCACCTTACATATAATAAGGAGCGCTGGTGCTGCTGTGGTTAAGTCATTGGGCTGCTACTCAAAAGATTGGCAGTTCAAAACCACCAGCTGATTGGTGACAGAAAGATGAGGCAGTTATCTTCCACAAAGATTTACAGCCTTGGAAACCTTAGCAGGTCACTATAAGTCTTAATTGACTCAATATTAGGGAACTTGGTTTGGTTTTGATTTACATATGATTGGATGTTAGACAATAATCACAAGCTATCATATCTGATTTCTTTACAGATTAAGACCCATTATTGAATACATCATTATACTCTCGTGTCATCATTTGCTTTCTGAGTTAATTTTGATACTCCATAACTTTCTCATGGCATTCTTCACTTCTGCATTCCTTAGGGTGTAGATGAGTGGATTGAGAAAGGGTGTGACAATAGTATAAAAGAGTGTCATCATTTTGTCCATGGGGAAAGTGGTTGGTGGACGTGTATATATGAATATACATGGAACAAAGAATAGGATGACTACGGTGATGTGAGAGGTACAAGTGGAAAGGGCTTTTTTCCTCCCTTCTGCACTGTGATTCCTCAGTGAATGCAAGATAATACAGTATGAGATCATGAGAAGCACAAAACTAGTTGAGCAAAGGGCCCCACTATTGGCCACCAACTGTACATTGATCATATAAGTATCCATACAGGCAAGTTTTAATAAGGGTTGCAAATCACAGCAATAATGATCAATCATATTGGGTCCACAGAAGGGTAGTTTCAGAGCCAGGGCAATCTGAGCTATAGAATGTAAAAAAGACACAATCCAAGTAAATATAATCAAGATGATGCACACCTGTCGTCTCATAATTGTCTGGTAACGCAAGGGTTTACAGATGGCCACATAGCGATCAACAGCCATGAGAATAAGGACAAGGATCTCTATAGCACCAAATAAATGCATTGTAAAGACTTGTGTCATGCACTCATTGTAGGTTATAACTTTCTTTGCAGAGATAGAATCCATAATTAGTCTAGGGGCTGTGGAAGTTGTAAAGCAGGTATCAGTAAAGGACAAATGAAATAGGAAGAAGTACATGGGGCTCCCAAGTGTCCTACTGAACTTGATGGTCAAAATAATGAGCAAATTGCCCATTATGGTTCCAATATAGAAAATCAAGGCAATTATGAACACTATTTTTTGTGTCCTAGGATCTTGTGTCAATCCTAAAAGAATGAACTCAGTTATACTCTTATTTTGCTGCATTGTTTCAGGAGATGTGAGGAAAATAGAAATTAGAAATAGTTAATCAGCAAGGACAAAAACAGTCATTTTATGAGATGAATACTGCATTTGTAGCTCAAATACATATACCAGATCATTGAACTTCCATTTATAGTTGTGTGAAATCTAATTTTCTGTGTACTGAGTTTTGATTAAAAGTGAAATTCATAATGGCTATCTATTTACTTTGTTGTATTTGATGTTATAATAAGAAAATTATGAAAAAAGTAAGTGACTTTTCAAACATAACAAACCTTAATGCTGGGGATTTGACATGAGTGGATAATAACCTGAGCTGAATGTGTTTATTCAGTTTTTAGCAAGCACCTGCCAACAGTAGAAGCAGTAAGTACAAAATAGACAAAATTTGTGAGGAACTTACTTCAAAATTCTTTTATAGTTCTTGAACTTCCTCATCCAATTATAAATGTTTTCATCCCAATTGGTCAAAAGTTACATTTTTCTCCTTATTCATTATTTTCTGCTTTTTTTAATATAATTTCTTTAGAGACATGAAAAGATTGACGCTATAGTTCAGGAAAAGAAGAGGGAAAATATTAGCCGTGTACCAGGGCAAGCTTTCAAATTTCAGATTTACAGCTCATTTGCTCTCTCACTGCTGTCTAGTCAGATCGGACTCATTTCACCCCTTGTTGGGTTTCCAAAGCAGCATGGCAGTGAGTTTGCTTTTGTTTGGTTTATTACTACAGAAGTAGATTGTCGTCCAATCTTCCTTCTGAGAAGTGTCTGGGATGTTTGAACTGCCAGCCTTCTGGTTTGTAGTTAAATGTCTTAGGCACTAAGCCACCAGCTTACACACTAAGGACCTAGAAAAAAAGCTCAAGAAACTCCAAATCATAGCAGAAGCTTTTCAACGTACTTCTTGTCATGCATATTCTTAAGTGTCTTATATCCCGAATTCAAGTAAGTTAAATGGAAATAAACAGGAAACTAATATTTATTTATATCTAACTATATGGAAAAACCTGGCCAAAGCCTTGGTCCCTTCAAATCAGCTTTTATTCATAGAAAGTGACAATAGTAAATTAAGAAAAATTGCTGCATTTGAATTATGATGTTGATGAAGAATATTGAATATATCATCAACTATCAGAAGAAAGAACAAATCAATCTTGGAAGAAATATAGCCAGAAGTGAGGATCATGACACTTCATCTCACTTACTTTGTCCATATTAATAGAGGAACCAGTCTCAGAAGAAGGACCTCAATGATGGTAAAGTAGAGGGTCAGCTGAAAAGAGAAAGAACTTTAAGAAGACGAAGTGACATGACGACTGCAACAATGGGCTCAAACATGATAAGCACTGTGAGGATGGTGCAGGACCAGGCAATATGTCGTTCTGTTGACTTAGGATTGCTATGAGTTAGTTGCAACCTGACGGCATCTAACAACAACGACAACATATGCCAGAAACTAAAGAAATTGTTTCACGTGCATCGTCAGACTTACTACCCAAATGGTAACATAATCTAAAGAAAAAAATAATTGCCAAAATAGTAAAATATATTTATAACATATGTGAAAGGCATGAATTTTTTCCAAATAAATAGATTTTACCATTTTACCCTAAAAATATTCATCACATATTCATAATGGGAAAAAAATTGATAAGAAATCTTTTCTTATGTAAAGAATTAAACATATGAAAAGATGTCTGTATTTATCACAACTAAGACATTTAAATTGAAATTCCAATTAGATATCTTTTTGTACCTATCAGATTAGGAAAATGATTCGTTTGGCTAGACATTGGTTAACATATAGTGCTGGCAAGTGTGGAAAGCAATCAACTTAGCATGTTCTTGGCAGACGTGAAAATGTGTGCAATCTAGTAGGGAAGATTTTTGAACATTTATAATTTTACTATTGCATCAGCTCCTTATTCAATCTCTTGTTGATACACTTACTCACACGAACAAAGACAATCACTGTCGCTCTGTCCATGGAACAAAAGATAAGAAAAAATGTCCATCCGAAGGGCACCGAATGAACCAGCATTATAATTTTATATAATCATTAACAAAAACAAAGCAGAGAAATAACAAAGAAGTTTAAAATATATTATGAAGTAAAACATCAGAAGATAAAAGCCTGTGATTCGAATGATAGTATTTCCATTCAAATCAGGGAAAGATACATCTCAAATACCCACTTCTATATAAATGAATCGTGTTTAGAAATGTGCAAAGAAAAACACAGTACTTGTAAGTCTTTAGGGAATAAAATTGTAATCTAGGCATCAGAGGTGGAAGAAACACTGCTTTTAAAGATGTGTTTTTTGGTAATATTTGAAAATATGTCTTAATCATGGTTAGCTAAAGAAGAAAGGTTTTTAAAATCTTTTCATAGAAGGCAATTTGATTAACGTACTTAATCAGCACAGCACTGGGCCCTCATAATCTCTTTTGATATATGCAAGAATGATCATAATATTCTTACAGCAACACTAAACTCCAGGGCTTTGAGAAAGACTGGGAGTCAGCTATGGAGACAGTTGTGAAGTTCCGTGCTTTGTAATCACACCATACTTTCCAAGAAATTGTCCAAATACTCTTTGTTTTCAAAGAGCTCCCACACATTCAACCCAGAGCATTAAAAATGGTTTCAATTTCTATCAACTGGATATTTTACGTGTGTATGTTTGTGCCCTGCTATGTATGTTATATATATATTACTATATATTATACATGTAATAGATTATGTTTTTATCTGACTGTACATATATTTAAACACAAATATATGTGTTGTTTTATATCCTCAAAATGTTTCTCACTCTTAAGCTCACTGACATGGAGTCAATTCAGCCTCATAGCAACCCTATAGGACAAAGTAGAACTGATGATAGGATTTCCAAGTCTGTAAATCTTGGTGGAAACAGACTTCCTCATATTACTCCTGCAGAGGTAGGTTCAAATGACTCATCTTTTGATTAGCAGCCAGATGCTTTAACCATTGTACCACCATAACTCCTTTCCTGACTCGTAGTAATACTATATCACAGATTGGAAGGGATCCATAGGGGTTCCTAGGCTATCATCTTTAAGGGAACTGATCACTGGCTCTTTTCTATCACAGAACAGCTAGATAGATTTAAAATGCCAACTTTCAGTTAGCAGTCAAGCAACTGAGCAAGCACCAAGGCAGTAAGAGAGCCCCTTGTGTGTGTGTATATCCATGTATATAACTGCCATTGAGTCAATTATGACTCATAGTAACCCCTCCTTGGTTTTCTGAGGCAGTATCTCTATGGAAGTATATTGCCCAACCTTCCTTCCGAGGAGTGGCTGATGGGTTTGAACCACCAGCCTTCTGCTTAGCAGTCAAGTGCCTTAGGCACTACACCACCAAAACTCCCATACATATGTATACCCATGCATACATACATATGTAGATAGATGGTAGATAGATAGATAGATACCTACATACATACCTACATACCTACCTACCTACCTACCTACCTTCCTACATACATACATACATAGACAGACAGATAGATGATAGATGACAGGCAGATATTTCCAGGGTGGCACCAAGGTGAAGTGCTCATCTACTAACTGAAAGGCTGGTAGTTGGAACCCACCCAAACACAGCTCAGAACACAGGCTTGGGATCTGCTTCCCGGAGGTCACAGCCTTGAAAGCCCTGTGTAGCTGTGTGCATGGAGTTGCCATAAATAAGCATTGATCGGATGACAACTAGCAAAAACAACATACAAATATACACACATACAAACACACACATGCACAGATAGACAGCCACGCACATATTTCACAGTTCACATAATTGATATACCTTTCAGCACAGAAAAGAAGTACGTGACTATTAAATATTTGCTGAATGACTAACATAATTAAGGAGGATTTACCACAGACACAATTCTATAGAGTCCCACATGGTTTTGTACTCAGTTTCCTGGAGTAAATGCAATGCCTGTGGCCCACCCTAACCTTGATAAAATCATTGTCTTTATGAAGAATTTCTGGAATATTTAAACCATTTTTTTCCTATTTGCTTATCTCTGTCACCCCATCTATCAAAAGCCCTTAATTTTTAGTGCTCAACATTCATGTTTTTTTTTTAATTTCCACATCCACTCTTTTATTATCTTCCATTAAACATTTGCCTTTGTTACAAAATGTTTCAATCAAATAGACAATTATCATTTTGATAATCTTTATTTTCACCTCCGCTTTAAATTACATATCACTCGCAGAAGTTTCAATATATTTTATCCTTCCACAAGTGTCTTCTATATATCACCTACCTATTATGATGGCCTTGAACAGATTAGATTTCTCTAAGTACTAAATACAACTAAATTATCCTCCAGTAAAAATCTTACCAGAATTTTGTAGCGTTTATAATGTTTCCTTGCTCTCTTTTCTTCCCAGGGTAATTTGGAAGTCACATACTCAAATAAGAAAATGATGATAATAAAGTGTTTCTAAAATTCCCTTTAATATCACCAAGAAACTTAGGTTCTTACCTGCCCACTAAAAGACAACCTAAGTTGGTCATAGTTTCATCCACATGCTTGGAAATCCACACTCACACAAGATTTTGACTGTGAAATGATTCTCTTTCACATTCCCTAGAGGAGGGCTTAACATGAATGATGCAAGATACAGGCCTTTGGGGAAGATCATTCCCTAATGTATCCATTTCCTCCCAATTAAGAAATATGAGCTAGATATGACGTAGAGCTTATCTTCAATTGGTCTTCTTGCTTTATCGGGAGAAGAAGATGTGGCCTGTTCTTGAAATTAAATGTATTTGTTTGGGTCATAAATAATTTTTTTCTTTTAACTTTTTATTGTGATTCGGGGGAAATATTACAGAGAAAATTGGTTTTGCATTCAAAGGTGACACATATTTTGTTTTGTTATATAGCGTTTAATGCCCAGAGTACAACAGCACTCTTCCCACTCCCTGTGTTTACTTTCACTTTATCCTTCTCTTC